AGCAACTCCTAAATCCTGAATGCTAAATCCCGAAAATCCGAACCCTAAAAAAACCGCGTTGTTAGTGTTTGTTTTTGAAACGGCGCCCCCTTATATCCAAGCAACACCTGCCCTTTGCGGACATACACGTGAAACTGAAGAAGCTATGTACGTGTTTAGGTTGGATCTTTCGGATTTCCCAAACGGTCCAAGTAATGGTATAGTATATACTAAGCCCTAAACCCTTAATACCTACTATAATTGGTACTTGGACCCTTGCGATCCTTGGGTTCAGCCCTAAATTAAAGTTTCGGAGCACCTTCATCTCGTTCTCCTTGCGCTTCTTCTCCCGCTCGAGCTCCTGGCAGAGAGTTTTTGGGGTTGCGGGGATTTGAGGGTTCAGGGTTTCTTGGGGTATACTATACTATAGTATAAAATAGGGAAACCCCAGAATATTAGAAGTCTTAGATAGGGTTCCTTATATGATTCCTTCTAATTTTTGGCCTTGAGGGGTTTAGGGTTTTTGGCCAGTTTAGGGTTCGATCGTTCACAGGGCTTAATTCGGGACTTAAGGGTTCAAGGGTTTGGGGGTTCGGGGATTTGTTGGACTGTATGTATCTCCAAGGCTTGTGGATTCAGAGGGTGGTGGGCTCAGAGCTGTGATCTGGGTTTGGAGCTTTGGGTTTAGGGTGTAATGGCTGGGGAGTTAGGTGTTGGGGTGCACGATCGGGTTTGGATGTTTGTGGCTCCGGCTCTCGAGTTTAGAATGTCCGTTTTGGGTTTCAGGCAGTAGCTTACCAGATCCTATGGGGGCCGGTAGACTGGGGAGGCGAACATTAGCCGAAAACTACTGGGCAATGCAAGAAGTTTCCTAAGGGTTTAGGGTCTGCGGTGTCGTAGAGCTCAGCACCGTCGACAGCCTCGAGACCCACACACCCCTCACAGCCCTGAACCTCAAGCTAAACCCAGAGCCCCTCAGCATGCCTAACCCGAAGTCTGATTGCCGCCTTCGTTCTCCGCTCCAGCTCGCGCTCGAACCTGAGGCGCTCCGCTTGGCGCTGCTCCTCTGCTGCCGTGGCAGGGCTGCAGTGCGATTTCACTTCTTCGCCAGTCTGAAAATCACAGCACCTCTCTGAGACACTATAAGCCCCAAAGGCGTCGCTCGGTAGTGCACACCCTTGCCGGCTGGCAACGTATGACGCCTCAACCCCAACTCCGAACTCCCCATGCGCACAGATTCCAGATTACCCAAGACCCTTGACCTTGTATGGGCTCGGAGCTACGAGCAACAAGCTCAAGTGAACCACTTCCTCCAGCTTTCGCATCGCTGTCTCTGCCTCCCAGGGCAAACCGTTGCTTCTTTTTGGAAAAAATCTGGTGGCAACAGGTGCAAATAGTCTGCAGCTGATTTCAGATGACCAAGTACACGGATGGGCAACTCGGGGAGCGCTTTGCCAGTTGCATAGCCCGGGTAGGTGTGGCAAGCGGCAGCAGGGACACAACCTACCAGGAGTCGACACCCAAGACCTTGAAACGCGGTCTGAAACTCCCCAACCCGCAAGGACAACAGATTGTTACTGTTTATTGTCATGATTTTCGTAATGGTGGCACTAGTACTTGTGCTGAGTAGTCGTGGTAGCAGGAGTGCCAGTAATGGTGCTGGTAGTAGCATTAGTAGTAGTAGTAGTAGTAGTAGTAGTAGTAGTAGTAGTAGTAGTAGTAGTAGTAGTAGTAGTAGTAGTAGTAGTAGTAGGTGGTAGGTGGTAGGTGGTAGGTGGTAGGTGGTAGGTGGTAGGTGGTAGGTGGTAGGTGGTAGGTGGTAGGTGGTAGGTGGTAGGTGGTAGGTGGTAGGTGGTAGGTGGTAGGTGGTAGGTGGTAGGTGGTAGGTAGTAGGTAGTAGGTAGTAGGTAGTAGGTAGTAGGTGGTAGGTGGTAGGTGGTAGTAGTAGTCGTCGTCGTCGTCGTCGTCGTCGTGACGGTGGTGGCGGTGGTGGTAGTAGTACCTGTGGTACTGGTATGTCCAGTACTACCAGTAGTGTACCAGGTTCTATCGTCGCTGTCGGGAGTTCCCAAAATTCGCACCTCGACTCGATGCTGCTGCTCGGCGTTCTGCGGCCATGAGGGCTTCGGGATTCACGGTTTTCAACTGTCTAGAGGTCTATGTGTGGCTCATGGTTTAGACTCGATTCGAAGCTCGAAGCTTCAGACTGTACATGACGGGTCGTTCTAGTCGTTCTTGACTGAGGTTCCTTCTCCAAGCACCGACTGGAAACGGAGCTTAGCAGAGCGTGCAATCGAAACGGGACCCGAATTCAGAAGAGTCCCACATCAAAGTCCATTATCGGCTTCCCTTATCCTGACTCGCATGTTCGAGCCCTCGGAGTATGAGGGTGCAGGAGCTCGGTGCACGCTGATTTAAATGAGGAGGCATTCTGGAATCTAGGGGTTCTGCAACAGGCCCCAGGGCTAACGGTTAACGACGAATGCAAGGTGAGAACACACCTAAACCAAAATCCGCAGCCCTACAGTAGAAGCCAGAGAATTGGAATATAATTATCGTAACCCCTTTAAGGTAAATTATAGGGGATCCTACCATTAATCCATATTCCAACTTTCTGGAGTTCCCTTTACACGGAAACCCCAAAGCACTCAACTCAAGCTCTTCTTGTCATGTTCGTCGGCCTTTGCGTCGGCCATGACCCGCTCCACCGTCGCGGACATCTGCAGAGAATGGGTGAGGGAAGGAACTATGCATGCTTTGCGTGTGTTGCACCCTTTGTTCGAGGCCATGGGCAGGACATGCGTCGATTTCACAAACTTGAGGGACATGTTCTTCTATGGTCGACGTCCCGCTGTCTATTGAATATCTGAGCCGAAAACTTCAAACAAAAAAAACTGACACCCCATCACTGAACCCGCACGCACCCCAAACCCTCAAAACGAACACCGGAAGCCTACGCAAAGTTTTACAGGAAACCCTATGCCATAGCCGCCTCCATAGCTCGTTGAGTCATGGACTCCTCCTGCCAGGCAAGCAGAGCAGCGGCCTAAACCCTAAACCCTAAACCCTAAACCCTAAACCCTAAACCCTAGACCCTGAACCCTAGACCCTAAACCCTAGACCCTAAACCCTAAACCCTAAACCCTAAACCCTAAACCCTAAACCCTAGACCCTAAACCCTAAACCCTAAACCCTAAACCCTAAACCCTAAACCCTAAACCCTAAAGTTCTGCGAGGTTGGTCTGAGGAAAGCAGGATCCTGAACCCCTTACCCGTCGGCATCGAAGGACTCGTATAGGGTTCCTGTAAAGGGATCTATAAACGGTCCTTTAAAGGGATCTATAGGAATTAGGGATCTAAGGACTCATATAATAAGGCTTGTGGGCCCAAAGACCATATACTATGTAAGTCTCTTGGGCTATTTTGATGCCCAGGGTACCGCAGATCCTGAACCCAGGAGAACCGAAATCCTGAACACGACAAGACACCATGCCCACTCACAACTTTGCGACGTATGGGTTGTTCCAACTGTTCCGCTTTACTCCTCGGAGTATCAAGGCTCCTAGGCGATAACCCCATGAAACACATGGAGGTACGGTTTATAGGGTTTAAAGTAATCAGATCATGGAACAAACAGGTCGCAAACAAGGGACTCAGAATGTCACGAACTGCCATATCGAGTTCTGAAATCATCGCTTGGCCCACGGCTCTTTGCTTCATCAGCTCCAGCATCTGGCGCAAGGGGAAACATGGACTAAGGCTAAGGTCTTATCAGCGGCAAGGGGTGTCCACGATCTTTGCGATGAGCTGGTGACGGTGATCTTGGGATGACGGTGACGATCAACCGAGCGGGATGTTGACGGGCCGAAAGTCTTAGGATTTCGTTTGCAGCATGGTTTCACGTTCAAGGCTCGAGGTTTTGGGGCTCAGAATCGGGATCAGAAAAACCTGAGCCCTAAACAAACCTTAAACCCTAAGCCCTATCACCGTCCAAATGGCTGATCAACCCCAAATCATCTGACCCTAAACCCTAAACCTTAAACCCTGAATCCCTAAACCCTAAGCCCCACTCCCAAAAAGGATCCCAAGCATTTCGACCCGTGCCTCGCTTGCAGCCACGCGGCTCTCCTGCTCGGACGAGATAACATGCGGTTGATGATACAAATCTGCATTACCTTAAGGACCCTGAACTATGGGAATCATGGTATATTCCTTATTAATTATGGTTAATGCAGGATTTATATCATCAACCGTAGCTTTCAACAACCAGGTCAACTGTGCAGAGAAGGCGGCTCTGAAGACGAGTACGTCTCTTTGCTGTTCTTCGCCGTTGAGTGCGGCTTGGTCCAAGCAGCATGTTTGGCACGTTACAGTCTATACTATACTCGCAGCACTTCCTACCTCGGCCCTTCCCCAAGACACCGCCACACGGAATCTGGGAAACACTCCTGGCAAGCTCAGCTATCCTCTCGCAACTCCACTTTGATAATTTGGCAGCTTTTGGCCGGCACATCGGGACTGTGCCGAGGTGAGATCTTCACTGTTTGGAGCAGATCGAGGCGCGCCAGAGCTCGGCCGAGGTCGAGATCAATGCCCGGACTTGATGGCACCGCACTGAAGTCCAGCTTTGTGACATACCGCACATAGGGACAATGCAGAAATGAGATGACCTGTCTCCATGTCTCACCTGCCGTAAAGCTGAAGCCTTCGGGGGCGGCAGCTGTCTCAACTAGTTAGTCGGATCAGCTCGGAAACATGAGAGTAGGGGTAGCAAGAATGCTTCAAATAAGATCGCGAAGCAAGAAACTCGTGTTTAAGAAATCAAACTTCGGAAACCCTCGATGCAAAGGGTTCTGACTGAAGCAACCTACACCTTCCCAGCCATGGGTCCTAGATTTGACGAGCCCAGCCTGTGAGACACAGCAGTGCCATCCTGTTCTGCACCATGCGCTTCAAGGCACCACACGCCGGTCCACACCTTGCCAGGTCAGCGTGGGATAGCCAAGGCGCCACGCCTTCCTCTAGCGTCTGAGTCTTTTGAGAAGCACCGAAACATGACACTTGCGGGCTGTCACTGCGTCCTGTAGCACTGGCGTCGGCATGTCTTGGACCCGACGCACCTTCGCGGCTGATGCAGTGCTTCCTTCGAGCTCTTCAAGAGCTCGAGATGCCCACTCTTTCTTGGGCGCATTCTCATCCTTCGCAATATCGCCCAGGAGGAATCGGAACAGCATCTCTTGGCCGCTCGCTGTGGCAAAGCGTCTTTGAAGGCTTTCGTCGGACTCCCCCAACTGACTCGCGATGCCTTCTGACAGCGGCACCTGTATTGCACGGTCTGGGGGTTGCTTGCCCAACTTCTGCAGGCGAGTTTGCGGAAGCTGTTCTTGATTCTGCTTCTTGCACACCGCGAAGCCGATAAGCTGCTCGGCTTTCCTCTTCATCATCTCACAACGCTTGTCCGCATACTCTGCAACCTGCTGGGCCCACTGCGTCTTCAGCATCTTTAGGCCACGAGCGCACCCCGCCTGCAATGCCTGCTGTCGCATGCGGAGCGCGAGATCCAAGCTTTGCACCTGTGGCAGTACAACGACTTGGCCTCCGATTCGGAGTCTGTATATATTGTATTGGAATGAGACCGGGCAGGCGAAGCCTTTCTCCGTCCAGTCATCAAACGCTTTTCGCACGGCTTCCTCATGGTTGCAGTCCGGGTTGGACTCGATCACGTCCGACAGCATGTGTCGCAACTTCATTATGCGGCTGTGGTAGAACACCGCCGCTGCGGCGCAACTTGACATGCGAGAAATGAGTTTCAAGCCACTCCACTGCCATCTAACCACATATCCATCCTTCTCAATAAAGAGGTTGCAAAGCGACAAGTTGTCTGCATTTCCGACATCCCGAGCCGCGTGGGTTCTGACATTGCCTTCGCTGATCGTCCCAAGAGCTGCTATGACCTGGTTCAATTGTGACACCGACATGTTCTGAAGCCCAGCCGACCATTGTGAAGGCTGAAACTCCAGAAGTACTCTGGCAAGCTCCTTTGGAAAGTCAGCCAGCGGATGCAGCTTGCTACCTGTGGTGTTCCGATGTCCCTCGCGGCCATCAGCGGAGTCGGTCGCGACAAGATCATTATTGTAGCGCGTCCGTGTCACAGGGTCGCACAAAAGCTCGTAGGCATTGAACAACTCCTGGAGGACTGGAGGGACTCGTTGGTTGAAAGATTCCTGGCAAGCTGCTGGTATGCGTTGTCGATCTCCTGAAGCGATGCTGTGCGTCGGACACCCAGAAGATTGGAGAGGTTGGATGGCGGCACTTTGGCCAAAGTACTAGCAGGGCGGCGCATGGCCTGGCGCTTCGACATGGCTCCACTTTCAAAGGTGTTCTCTTAATTTGTGGATCCAAGGGTGAGGGTTCAAGCTTGATAGGCTGATGCCTCCTGTAAGCTTTTGTTTGAGCGTTTATAAGGCTCGTGTCCACCTGACTCGATCTGAATATGATAGTGTTGATCCCTCTTCGGGGTTCCTACATGAAGGATTCTATGACTTGGGGTCTGTATTGCATGGCCGGGCATCTCTGTCACTTGTGAGATCGGCGACCGCAATAGATGCAGATTGCGCTGGCGAGTAAACAGGCAGTGAAAGAAGCTCACTTCGGCACAAAAGAACTTCAGGTATTCAGGTTTCGGAAGTACTAAGTACGCTCTGGTACTTCCCAGTCAGCCTCTCGTGCTTTGGCGACCTCCGCCGCGAGGAGCAGACGAATCTGAGCCATGGAAGCGGGGGGTTTCTATACTTGGAGGATCATGGGACTTAGTAATTATGGTTATCAGTACCTTATTTGGGGTTATATGTAATTATAAGTATAGTTACCTTAATTATAACCCTAGTTACTAAGTCCCATGATCCTCTAAGTAGGGTATGGTTCCAGGTTCTGGGTTTTATCAGGCTGTACGGGTCTTAAAGTCTTATCAGGGTTTTAGAGGGCTTAGGCCTAGGCTTTGAAGTACGGAAGCCCTAGAGTCTAGAGTTGATACGGTAACATTGATGTGGTACAATGATGTCCATGCCTTTCTCGGCTTATATACAGTGAGGAGCCCATGTTCAAAACTCGTGCATGGGTAGCAGATCTTTCAGCTTTGCTGCGCTTCTTTCGCTTTGTCAGGCCTTGGCGTATTGACGACAGTATCCAAGATGGCACGGTATCGTCTCAAATTGGCCATATTCGCATGCACACTCCCTAATGGCCTACGGCCTCCGGACCAAATGTTGATTCGGCCAGACACCTCAGCCCGAACCCCTTGAATTAAGATAATGGGGACGTCGAGAAAGTCGAGTCAAGGGTTTGGCGGCTCAGGTTACTGTGGGGATTCAGAACAACCCAACTACCGGCAATGACCATTCTATATCGCGTGAGCAAGACACCAAATTCACTAAATACCCAAGCTGATGCTTCACAGTGTGGGCTTGTGCGCAGTGTGGGGAGCTGCCTGCTCGTCACGCTCTCTCTGCTCCTCCAGCGCCTGCGCAGAAGCATCTGAGCGACTCTCAGATCCCAGTGCAATTGCTGGAACGACATTCGTAGCAGGCCTTCAAACGATTCCCCTTCGACCATCGACCTTCGATCTGTTGAAAGCCTGCAACACTCTGCCCAATCGTGACCGACACCCCAACGGAAGCATATTTAATGCATGATGGCTCCTTTTGCGACGCACGAAAGCCTGCGGAAAACTAAGCGACTGGTTTTTTACGGGAGTTTGCAAACATAAAGAGCTTGGAATATATATATATATATATATATATATATATATGGGGTCCCTCTGGCAGCTGAAAGTTAGTGGAGCCAAACCGCACAGTACCCAACTCCTAACCCCCATGAGTTGGATCCTGGACAACTATGTAAGTTGAAAGCTTCAGCAAGCCCTGCACCATATGTAAGGATGTAAACTAAACCGGTAGGCCTTGTACAACCTGGAGACTTAATCTCTCAATTACACCCCTAAACCCCGAAGCCCCAAACCAACACACCTTAACCCGAACGCAACCTGCCTAGTACCACCAGGGAGCTTCCGATAATTCGCGGTACCTTATTTTGGGGGCCTTACAATAAGGATCCCACTATTTAGGGTACTATGTACTCCCACATAAACCTCAGCTGAAAACAAAACAAAGAAAAAACACATGGCACGAAACCTCGAACCGCAGATCGCAACCCCTAAACCCAAAGCTTAAACCCGAAGCGCCAAACCCCAAGGCTCTAAACCTATAATGAAGCCTTCAACCCCCAAAACAAAACTGCTGCCCGTCGGGCTACGACTACTCAGAGGATCATATAAGTAAGGTAACTATACTCATAATTACTTCTCACCCCAATTAAAAGGTACTTTATACCATACTTACTAAGTCCCATGATCCTCCAAGTACGACTCCCAAGGCCTGAAGCTGCGAGCGTCTGACCTTGAGAGGCAGCATCTCTCCGCGCTGGGGCTTCGTAATCTGGGTTGTTCTTTAAAACCTTTGAACATTATGTATGAATAGGTTCCCTTTATAACGAAATAAGGGAAGTTAAAAGTTATCCCAAGGCACAACCCAGTAATATTGAGGTTCAGGGCGTGTGGTCTAGCGGTTTGGGGATTTGGGGCTTTTGGTGGTTACGACCATGTAGCGCTAAAAGCTGGCTCGAAGAGAACAATAGAGCTTCTCCGCAGGGCTTATGAACCCAATCATTGAAGACTGTGCAGCTGAACCCCAAAACGGTTCCGGAAGGTTTCCGCCCAGCACAGCCACTGCACCTCCTCCTGGACGGTCTTGTCCACAGACCTGCCGCCAAACTTTAACTGCCATCTAGTAGATAAGATGAGGATGGTACGGTATAGCAGAATTCATATTGGCCACAACCCTTGAATCTCTATGTCGATGATGCAACCAGAGGAGGAAAAACACATGATGCTGAGGATGGTTCTGCAAGTAAGGTAAGGATGATGACAATGACGATGGAACATTACGAATCGATCGCCGGCCCAAGATCTATATATGTCTAATAGAAATCTGCAAGAATCTACTAATGCCTTGAAGCCTGAACCAGGTCGTCGCAGCGTAGCCTTTCTCCGCTACTCATAAAACTTTCAGGTGCCGCTCGCTTTGCCACTCGGCTACGATCTGCTGCAGCTGCTGGAGCCAGTGGCCTCCAGGGCTCAAAAGTGGGAGTTCCGGAAAACGAGGGGTACCTTATTTTGGGGTCCTTACAACAAAGATCCTACTATTTAGGGTACTACATTAGGGTCCCCTATTTTCGGAAATTCCCAAGTGATGTTGAAGACCCAAGACCCTCTTTGTACCCCTAGATAGAGGTATATAGGTGGTTGTCAAAATTGTGGTCCCTATAAAGTGCCGTATTCTAATAAGGACCCAAAACGGGACCCTAATATTGACAACCACCCATATGAACCCCAAATAGTAGGTATTCAGGGTCTACTAGAGCGACTTGGAGGGGTCTAGAAAATCTCATCAGAACTCGACATATAAGGTTTAGGGTTTAGGGTTTAAGGTTTAGGGTTTATGGGCTAATTTATGCGCATTGTAGGTGGTTTGATATGGCTTCTCTGTGCAAGCAAAGAAGCTCACTTACTGCTGGCTGCAAGCGTGTGGGGGAGGTGGGCTTCTGGCCTGCCGGCTGTTGCTTACACTGGATGCTGAGTTGAGGTGTGCGCCAGGCGCCCATGCGATTAGCTGAAGCTGGCAAGTTCAACCCTAAAGTCCCAAGCACTTCACCTCCTGCAAAGCCCGAACCTCTCACTTCCAAACATCTAAGCCTAAACCCTGAACCCTGAACCCTAAACCCTGAAACACTAAACGCTAAAACCTAAACCCGAAAGCCTACTACACTGTGCGGAAACTGTCGCTGAGGTCCCAGGCCTTTTTGGCTCCACTCTGCGCGAGCCTGTACATGCTGCTCGAGCAGAGCCTGCCGAGGGCTGCAAAATGTAGGGGTTTAGGGTTTAGGGTTTAGGGGTTTAGGGTTGGGGTTCTGCCAGGACATTTTACATTCAATTCTTATCAAAAGGGCACGGGCATCGTCACTGCTGCCATTGCAAGTTCTACTACTAAGTCAATCATGAGCGACACCTACTTCCATGGCAGCTGCTTGAGCTGATGGCTAGTATGACTACTGAGTGACTACTGCAGGCACTTACGGACAGTACTGATATCACTGACTACTGTGCTTTCACAACTGGCGAATGAAGATTGCGAGTGTTGTTAAATTTTGCATTGCAATTGCTGCGGCTGAAGATGATGTTGATGAGTATGCTGCTGCTAAGCTCATGATGCTGCTGATCTTGATGACGAGTGATAGTTGCATTGGTGACTGCCACTGCAACTGTTGATGCTGTCGCTCTGTATCCATCATGCTATTTCAGTAACTTCGTATTACGACGATGGCCACTACCATGCATGCCACACAGATTGCTGTGTGTCTCACTGTGGTGAGTTGCTACGGCTAGTGCTACCGTCAGGGAAAATGCGGCATGCTCTTCACTGCTGAACCCTGAACTCTAGATATACGTCAGCGATTGATAATGTGATACCCTTATCCTGACGAATTCGATCAGGGCTTAACTAAAACCCCTATAAACCCTATTCTAGTCCCTTATGGTAGTCCCTATAACCTATTCCCCATTCCCTACAAACTCTAAACCCCTAAACCCAACCCTAGATCCTAAACCCTAAACCCCCCTAAACCCTAAACCGCTTGCCCTGACGAACTCGATCAGGGCTTAGGGGTGCTTCGAACCCATCCTGAAGTCGATAAGCATACTTAGGGAAGCTCGGCGCCACTTCTTGTTATCCAGACGCCCCTCAAACCCCTGCAACAGAAAAATATAGGCGCCTTAATCATTAGAATAGGGTTTTGGGACCAATTATACTATAGTCACAAAAAGTTTGAGGACCCCCCACCCACAAAAGAAGAATGATGCAGGTAATTATTCAGGCCCTTAAATTACCCCAGCATTCCCAATTGAATGCCCTCCGTCCTTGCTGTGGTTGGGCCTTGGCAAGAAGAGGCTTTGCAGCCACAACTAGAACCGTACTACACTACGTAACGTATACAGCCTCGTAATACAGAAGTAACGCAGGCATAACACAATGCCAACATAACGTCCTTTCAGACACAGACACACATTGCATGCAGGTCTGCGCGTCTTGCAGAGGAAGGCAGCATCGCAAAACGAAAGAAAACATATCGAGAATACTTGCCTTCGAATTCCTTATCATAATTATACTGTAAAAGGGCCCAAAGCCCTGCTCTACTTATCAAGGAGCCTATACTGGCCATGCACGGCTAGCAACCCTGCACCTTTCTGAAAGTTTTCGACGGCCCCAGAGTTTCTAGTTCTTGGGTGGCAACAAAGTAAGGTTTAGGGTTTAGGGTTTTTCTTAAGTGCATTGGACCCTTTCGTTTAGGGGTTTAGGGTTTAGGCTCAGTTTAGGATGCGAGATGAGCCATGCATGCTCATGTCTTGCACAGCCTTGAGATCTAACGCTGCACCACCCTGTTCACAAATTTCCTGCTGGAGGCCCTGAAGGAGTCGACTCTCTACTCCGATGGCACACTGCTAAATAAGTCCTGTTCATCACTCCGAACTCTGAAAACAACAAGGCCACAGGCAACGTCAAAACGCACCGCAAATCACATCATCCGCAAGGCCGAGTAGTCCCTAGCCAAACTTCGGATGCTGTTCTGAACCCAACCCACAACTCCTAACCCTTCGGTTTAGCGTTTAGGATTTAGGAAATCGCATTGGGATGAATCCCAAACCCAAGCTCCGTCAGCCCAGGCACAGAGCAACGTTCCCGAGCCCGGCGGTTAAGGCGCTGGGCAAATCTGCAGGAAGCACCTCCAGACATTCGATTCGGGATTCCAAGTCACCCTGAGAAAGACTGGTGGGCGGTGCAAGCTTTTCGGTAATCCCTTCGAGTGCTGCATGCTGGGCATCTTCGGTTACAATGCATCAGCAGAATTTCTGACAAATGGCTTAACCATTTTAAACTGATGGAGTTGCTATGCCTGGGCGGCGGGCTTAGAAAGGACAGCACTATCAGTGATGACACAAGCAATGCTAGTGACAATAGGAGCAGTCACAATGATCACTCTTCATTGCAACACCATGCAGAGCCAACAGCGGTCGACGCAGCAACCGTGGATACACCAAAGCAGCTTTGCCGGTACTCCATGTGTCTCCTGTTAGGGCCTGGGAATTAATTAGGATTGAATCCTCGGGTTTCGGTGTAGGCTTTCGGGTCCGAGTTTGGGGTAGGACTTTTGGCGTGGGGCCACTTTAGGGTTTCGAGTTTAGGCTATCCGTTCGAAGGCCGGGTCAGAACTCAAATCTGCAAGACGATCTTGGGGCGTCATGCGGCTGTTTCAAGTTTGTGAATACCTATGATTAACAAGCTAGAGAACTGAAGAGGGCTGAAAGCTAAAAAATATCGTGTATAGCCCAAGTCCCAATAAACCCGAAATCCTACAACACGAAAAGCGTCATTGCTAACACCAATCTCTTGTACTTACAACGACGTAATGGAAAGGGAGCCTCTAAACAACGAGCCCTAAACCTTGAGCCCAAAACCCTAGACCCTAAACCCCACAATAAGTCGTGAACCGTAGGTTGCTAAGGTGTGGACGGCCGCCGCGGCTAGCAGCAACTCCCCCGCTTCGGTCAGTGCCTCACCGGTTGCCGCTTCGGAAAACTCAGTCTGGTCGTATGTCGGAGACCAAAAGCCAGACAAGTGCCTAAACAACTTAACTCTGTAGTTGCACACATATATACCCTAAACCCTAGAGAGCAAAAAAAATTTAGTTTCCATACCTGAATAAACAGAGTTATTTACAGTCATTTGTCGATCTGTTTATGACAGGGAGTGCTTCCTCGGCCTGGCTACAGAGATCGTTAATGTAGGATTTTGGGGTGTGCTATATAATATATATATATATATATATATACGGTTAAGATTGTTCAATGCTACAGAGACTGTAAGGGCATCTTTTTTCTGGAAAGGTGGGCACGATAATTTTAACATTCATCCAACGGCAGTGGTAGCAAACATAGAACCCGCTGAGAGGGGAGCCGCAAAATGCCAGGTTCCCCAATAGCCCCTTAATGATACAGGTAGCCTTTTCCCTAATATTCGGTTTTAATAAGGAGACCCTTAACCCTAAAACATAACATACCCCCCCCCTCCAAAAAATGCAAAGTGTATTACTGAGAACCCTACTTGGAAGGGCAGGAAAACTAGTAAGTAGGTTATAAGTAGGGTTATAATTGGGGTAACTCCATTTAGGGTACTTATAACGCTACTTATAACCTACTTACTAAGTTCCCTGCCCTTCCAAGTAGCATGCGAAAAATCGGCGGCCTCGGGCTCTTCGAAGAAGTCCTGTTCCGCCATAGCCCGGCAGAGTGCTGCACCTGAAGCGAGGGCTTAGGGCTATACGTCTAAGCCGGAAAGCTTAGGATACTATAGTATACCATCGTAGTAGATTAGAGCATATTGTTGTACATGCTAGAGTAGAATACAGCAGATTGTAGCATATTGGGAGTTTACAGTGTTCCTATCAGGGGTCGTGACGTCCCTCGCTACATTCAAGTCCGAAACCCCTACACCCCAAATCCCTCAGCCCTAAACACATCCGCCCACCTTGTAGAAGCCCCCTATGCCAGCAATCCTAGACGAAACCCCAAAGCCGAAAACCTAAACCCCCCTCAAACCCCAAACCCTAAAGCCCATATAGTAAACCCTAAACCCTAAACGGAAATACC